ACACACACACCAGGAGAGCTCATAAGACTGTGCTGACGGAGCATCAGGTGGTGACCGGAAGCCAGCTTTAACACGGACAGGTGCTAACGTGTAAATAAATATTTCTCACCTACCTGACAGGCTACTGAGTCGTTTCTGCTGTTCTGTGATAAAAGAAAAAACACACAGTGTGAGATTTACAAAGACGTGGTGAAACTGAGACATCCGGGCACAACTCGTTAGGATCCCAGTATCTGTGTCCTCACTGTCCTCTGGGTTTAGATGCTAAAACACTGTGCATCCAGTGAACGCAGCGTGTTGACGCGGCCCTGTCATCCAAGTGTAGTATCTCATCCCCCTGCCCCTGGGTCTGCACCAGGACTCAGGCACTGTCACTGTTGTTCTGGGTGTTTACATCGTATCTCAGGATAATCTGGTCACGGGAGGAGACCCTCCCACCTCCACTGGTTTCAAGGGAGCAGGACTTTGAACAACCCAGTCTTGGTACCTTCTGAGGAGAAGTAATTGTAATGGTAACCATAGCAGCTACCACCTCCTGAGCGCTTGCAGATGCCAGGCATCGTCTTTACAGCTTTCCTACAGGTTAATGCTTTTAATCTTTGCAACAACCCTAGCAGGTAGGTCAGGGTGGTTGAGACACCCTCAATGAGGGGCAAAAACTACCCAAGAAGACACTGAAAACCAGAACTGGTCTAAAACCTGGAATCTCCTTATCTCTAGTCCAAGGATCTTTCCAACTTTAATCACCAGGTACCTTTCCTTAACACTGAGGTCTATGGGTTCTCACCCTCCTGGGCACTCGTGAGGAAGGAGTCAACCTCTCGTTTGGAGAGTCCTGTGTGGACGTGGAACGGCATACAGACAAAAATGACCCCTACCTTCCATAGCTGCTAAATATAAAACAGCCACATAGATAAACACAGAACGCCTGCCAGCCATGGGTGCTGCCATTATCCCCCGTGGCTGCGTCCCCACCCTCCCCGCAGAATCAGCGTGGGCAAGAAGTAAAGAGAGCCCGCAGCTGGTGGAAGCAGCCCTGTCCACGTCGGGCCCATGGACGAGGCTCACTCACACGGCTGGACAACAGAGGCCAGCAGAGCTCGAAGCACCGCGCTGCCAGCCACACTGACCAGTCGTCACCTCCATTTCCTCATCTGTTAAATCAAAGCACTCACGGGGTCCATGGATCCAGAACTCTGGTCTCCAAGCCAGGGGCAGGCTCTTCCCCAGCAGGCAAAAGCCAAGTTATCCCACTTAAAACACTATGTTGTTCCCACTTCTCAAGTGTGAAAGGCCCTTCTTTCTTGGAATGACATGCGATGAGGATAACAGCAATTGTCTTTCAGGGGTGTTATTTAGCAAAGTTAGAAATTAGCAACCCTAGGGTGGTCCCCAGACGGTTTCATTTGACAGAAGTCTGGGGACCAAAGAGCTCTTGATCTCCAGTGTGGTCCATGGACCAGCAGCACCAACATGCCCTGCGAGCTGCTGAAAAATGCAGAACCTCAGCCCTGCTTCAGAGCACCTGAATCTGCATTTGCATCTGCAGATCAAGAAGACCCCCTCCCCCCAGAGTCTAGGCACAATCAAGACTGCGGAGCTTTGCCCTGGCCGGGAGCTCAGTTGGTTAGAGCATTGTTCCGATACATGGAGGTTGTGGGTTTGATCCCTGGTCAGGGCACATACAAGGATCAACCAATGAATGCATAAATAAATGGAACATCAAATCGATGTCTCTCTCTCTCTCTCTCTCTCTCTCTCTCTCAAATCAAGTAAACATTTTTAAAAACTTAAAAACAAAACAAAACACTGAGAAGCTTGGAGCTACGGAACCCATGCATCTCTTTCAGTCCTGGGAGTTTTCTGGTTCCAGTCCTCCTACCAGACTGATCATAAGCAATCTGCCCTCAGACACATGTAAAGCGAAGTCTCAGGAGAGGAGCAAGGGCTGTGTGGTGCATGACCTTCTGAGCCAGGCCAGACTGCGGTGCCCTCCATCTGCTTGCAGCGAAGGAAGCTGGCTGCGAGAGAGGGGGCTATTGTCACACCATCCCCCGGGCCAGTCTAGGCAGGAAAAAAGGGAACCTTTCTTAGGATGACTAAACTAGAATCCCAGAAATGGAGTAAAGTTATCATTCCCTCAGGAGACTTTGCAATAGTTAAGAAACTTTTTACGGGTATTATCTATGATGCAAAGCAGAGCTGCCAGGCTGGGTCAATTCCAAAGCAAAGCCAAAAATGCTTGACCTACACCCCACTGACGAGCAGTCCAGCGAGGCGCGGCCAGCGAGGCGCTTCCATTCTCCTGGTCTCTTCCTGCCGTACCTCCTTGGGGACATATGGTTTGCTCTTTATAGGAAGCGACTTTTCATTAAAAAACAAAACAAAACACAAATATACGTGTATCCTTTTCTGAAGGATGTGTGTTGCAGGCTGCACAACTCTGATTTTAAACCCAGGGGCAGGGCTTGGACAAAAGAGAAATTTAGAACCAACGACATCTGGGCAAATAAGAAGAATCCATTTGTTCAGGAAAGGAACAAAAAGGAAGAACGGGCATGTCTGTGCCCAAAGATGTCTCACTCGGTGTCAGAGGACTTGGCAGAAGTAACTGACATTACACTTGGCATTTCCCAAAACCCAAGTTGCCTTGGGAATAAATCCCATTTTTAGAGAAACTGCTTTTCCTTCTGGGAACTCACTTGCTTCTATTTGACTGGATTTTTTAAAAAGATGAGTCATAAAGAAGTTCATAGAGAACCAAAATTTCACTTTGTCTTGCATTACGGACACTTTCTGGGCAGGGAAAGCCGCTGCCAAGAGGAGAATGGGCTCTTACATAATTTAGTGTGTGTGTGGGGGGGTGGGAGCACTTTTTATTTTTTGAAGAACACAGATTCATGGGTGAAAATTAATATGGGAGCCACACAGAGTGAAAAAAATAAAATTACTAAAATAACTAAAATTGGAGTGGGAAGATTTTCAGTGAGAGAAAATGTTTCATTCATCTGTTTTTTAAGTTAGAAGCAGGAAACAGAAAACTCCATTTAATATGGAGAACAATTAAAAATAGATTTCAGCCTCTCATTCTCATCCAAGTTAAGGCAGAGAGAGAGGCGGAGGGGAGGGAAACTATGAAGTAGGCAAGCAGGGAGTCAGGAAAGGAAGATTTGGTACCGAGCTTTGAGCTCTGAATAATATAATAAAACCTCACTCAGAAACACCCAGAAAGCTGGAAAAGTTTATATTTCACAGTGCAAAGACCTGTGGGGACCGGGAAGCGCATCCTTCTATTGAATTCCAAAACCGAAACATTTGGATTTAGAAACATCTTCTGGAATCTTAAAGCAGAGGGTCAACATATGAATTATCACCTCAAAGCACTTCTGCTTCCCCACGATGCCTTGCAAAGAAGGGGAAGAACCAGCCTGAGGAACTGCAGGAAGCACACACGAACCCCCTGGCCGAGCTGCCTGGGGCCACGCAGCCACGCAGTGCCCACAGGGGGTGCTGAAAGGTGGCCCAGTGTGCCGACTGCTGGCAAGAATGGAGGCTGGTGAGACACTGAGAGGTTCAGTAGCCTCTGTGTTAGAGGCAGAAAAACATGTTTGACATTTTAGAAAATATTCCATCACTAGGTTTTTTTACAGTTTGGTGCTCAAGATGTCTCTTTCTAGAGAACTCATGATGTCAGAGCTAAATGATTCAGGGCACTTCTGAAAAGAGGGATCACTGCACCTAGAGTTTCCAAGCAAAGCTGTGATGAGAATTCTCACGATGAGGAATGAAGGGGCCCAGACTTTCCCTTTCTGCCTCTTTTTTTCTTTTTGGTGCCACCCTCTGAAGACACTGTGAACACCCAAGGTGTGGAACACACACTACAGAAGCTTACTTATTCTGATACCAGACATCACCCCAAATCAGAGGTCTGTCCGCTACGATCTACTTGGTGGGTCGTGGGAGGAAACTGGGGCCAATGTCCTCGGAGATGAATGAGATTTGTGAAAATTTGCGTGGGAAGGCAGACTTATTGTCCCGGGGTCACGGAACAGTGAGCGGAGGGAGAGGTGAGCAGGGAAGCTCCCTTACCTCGGTTGTGTTGCAAGAGCACAATAGTGGGATTGACAATGGTCGTGGAGGGGTAGGCAGAGGATGGCTTGCTGACGGGTGCAAAGGTTTGGGAATCAGTTCTAACAGGAGATGAAGAAACTTCATTTAGCAGAGGGCTTGAATCCTGAAAAAGGACAAACATAACTGTCAGTATACAAAACCTAGAGCTAATGCTTTTTAAAAAGGAAATTAAGGCTGTACAAGGACCTTAATTAGAAAAAGAAATGTAATCAATGAAACGTCATTGATTCCAGTTAGAAGCTTAATCTGGAATGCTTATTCTCTTCGCTGGTATTAGTAAGGGGCGAGAGGGAAGATAATGTTACTGAAAGTCGCAGCAACATTATTCATTATTTTCACCTGGTAAGAAACGTGGATCAATCCAGTTACTGAAAAAGCAAATTCAAATCAAAGTAGAAAAAAAACATGCAAAACTCATGCAATTCCAAATGCAGTCCGAGCACGAGAGCTGGTTTAATAGGGAAAAATCAGGAAAGTTTAGTACACTGTTTACAGAAACATGAGACGATGTGAGATAAGAAGCCATAGGTGTAAGAGTAGAAAGGGTTAAGTACTGGTACTCTTGGAAAGCTATTCTTGTCACCCACATCACTGAACACCTTGCTAGCACTTGCGGCTGAGATTCAGATATTATCCTGTCCTACAGCGGCGCTTTTTCACTCCAATATCGACTGACAAAGATCTCTGAAGACTTGCGAAAATCGTGACTTTTAAAAACCTGAGGGTCTCAGCCAGAAATACCAATAAAATTATTATTCCTCCCATTACAATTTGCACGATGGGAATAAGGGCAGTCTTTTTAAAGACAGGAAAAATAAGACTTCAAAATGTAGCAAGGACATGTAAACAGTTTCCTCTATCACACCTATACATTTAGCAATGTTTCTATTTTAGAATTTACAGACCCTAAAGCCAGAATATCATTCTTAAAGGGTTTGAAGAACAAGACTTTGTTACTGTCTAGGGCAGTGATGGCGAACCTTTTGAGCTCGGCATGTCAGCATTTTGAAAAACCCTAACTTAACTCTGGTGCCGTGTCACATATAGAAATTTTTTGATATTTGCAACCACAGTAAAACAAAGGCTTATATTTTTGATATTTATTTTATATATTTAAATGCCATTTAACAAAGAAAAATCAACCCAAAAATGAGTGTCATAGGTTCGCCATCACTGGTCTAGAAAACAGTATGGCATAAAAGCAATTCGTATGCTCCATCAGAGAGCATGGCTCTGTAAGTACCTGCAGGACTAGAGACACGGCCCCGTCCTCTTCCTTCCATCCCCTACCCTAGCACAATGTCCTGCAGACAGTAGGGGCTCAGTAGTAAAATGCCACATGAATGACAGCAGCCACCTACCAACAAAGGTGCTTCTGAACAACTAGTGTTCCAAAGAACAAAGAGTTCAGGAGAGGATGTGAGTGTCAGGACCCGGGACAGCTCCCGACACACAGTAGGGGTGGCTTCCTGGAACCCACTGGCTTGGTCAGTCCACTTCTGAAAGCGCCCCAATGTCACAGCTGCTACTTATGAGTGGCAGCTCAGGTTAGTGAATGAAACTTCCCCCCAAGACTTGAAGCACAATATCGTCTTGTACAAAAGTGCCTCATCTTAATTTTTCATTTAAAAAGTGGGAGAACAATTACACCATCCTATTTACTTCCAAAGTGATATAACACAAATAAATGACATATCCATGAAAACTGCCCTAATGCAGCCAAGAAACACGAGAGTCGGGCACACAGCTTTCTGAAGTGTGCATACTGCCCATGAGGCCTGGAAGGACCATGTGAGCATCACCCATTTTATAAACTTCACTCTGTGGCACAAGTCTGGTTATTGACTAGATTCAGAACCTGGACTAATTAACGTGAATGGCTGCAGATGGAGCAGGTATCAATGGTGGCTTGGCCGCCATCCACGGGGATCTGCTTTGCTTGACGATCCTCATTCAGGGGAGGAACCCAACAGTTGCCCTTTTCACCTTCTACTTCATTACCTGGGCCAAACTAGAAGTTATCAGGCCAACTGAAGTCTCCTGGGAAGTCTATACGTCAGTGGGGTTTGAGAAACTGAGGACACTGTCCCAACTCACCTGTCCTGGTCTACCTGAACAAACTCAACATGAACACCTAGAGCTACTCAACCGAACTGCTCACCATGCATGTGAGCACACTGAAAACGCTGCTCTAGAGACACATTCTATGCCAAAGGGAAGAGCACCTGTATTCTTCAAAACAAGGGCAGCTGCTAAATTCACCTGTAAGTTGAGCTAAGGTAAGGTGAGTGCAGCAGGGAACAATTTAGCATTTTTCTCCACCTGGGCTGAGTTGTAGGGGTCAAACTAGGACACCAAGCCCCCGGGCCACGTTTGACAGCGTCCTGACCTAACCCACTGAGCTGCATCTAGAGTTTTGAGAAGGGTCCCAGCATTGTATCTGATATCTCACTGTAATTTCTCTTAAAAGCCTCCCTCCCCCAAAAGTTTCCCTCCTGCTTGATTAAACTGCATGAATCGCTTCAGTTTAATGAGCCTCTTGAGCCTGTTTTGGAGGCATACAAGGGATGCCAGTGAACATTAGTCCCATCAGCCAACTGCATGGCCCTACATCTCAAAATGTGGCCCATGCACCCTCAGCATCAGAATCCCCCAGGATGCACATTACCACATAGTTTGAGTCCTAGATCCCTCCCCAGACCCACTTGATTAGAATCTCCAGGAGTATAACCTGGAGAGGACGATTTAAATGCATTTTCCTGCCGCTCAATGAGCCACGTACTCTGAGCTTGAGAACACAGCTCAGATGAACTCTCTAAGAGCAGGGGCTGTGCCTTGTTCGTAGAGAATTGAGAAGGATGCCCAGAACATGGTGGGGACTCAAAGAAATCTTTTTCTTGGGCTTTCCCCCCTGGGTTGCGGGCCTGTCCCTCACAGGATGGGCCCTTTAACTTCATGACCAGTGAGGCGCTGTTTTGCCACAAAGGCCTTGGGAGCTACTACTCAGGGTCCCCAGCAATTATCTGCCTGTTGAGGAAATAGTCCTAACATTCATACAAGGCTTTTATACCCATTTGCTCAATCATATTCAACTCTTTTTTTTTTTTAACCTAGTCTCTGCCATGGCTGTGGACACGAGTTTGTTTACTTGCTAAATCCACACAAGAGTGACTCTCTTCCTCCCCTGCTCCCTGGTGGAGAAACGGCTGTTGGTTTTTCCACCTGATTCGTAGCTTTCCTCAGCTCTCAACAGTACACTTGCCTGCCTGTGGCGAGCACACCTAGCCAGAGGTAAGGCCACAGAGGCTGTTTTCTCGGCGGAGAACCAAGTTCCTTCAGGAAGATGTGCATTCCGAACAGGACAGTGAGGAAGAGGGAGGGAGACCGTGAGCAGCCGCGAGAGCCCGGGACACATGGAGGCATGCACTCGGGACAGCAGACCCGGCTCCAGCCATCACGCAAGCACAGGCAGCCAGCACTCCCTCGGAACTTAGTACTCCAGTGAGAAGGGCTTTTACTGCCAGGGCAGACATTCAGGAAAGCCGCGAGGAAGGGACCCCAGCAAGCTTACGGTACTTGAAACAGCTCCCGTGAGGTCAGGCTCCGAGACGCTGTGCAGGCCCTCCGGGACTGGGGGGACCAGCGGAGGCGGTGGTGAGAAGGATGGTGGTGTCTGGCTAACGGGGGGGTGGGGGCCCGGAGCGCTGGCTGGCGGGCTGTGGTGGGGCCGCCTCTGCAGATGAGGGGGAATGAAATCATCTAGAGTCGGGAAGGTCAGAGGTGAGCCGGCAGGGGCGGCCGCCGGGACTGGGGGGCCCAGTGGCCCCCGAGGTGCTGGAGGTCTGGCAGTGCCTTCTTGCCCTCTGTCAGTATTAACCAGGTAGAGAGGGACAACTATGACCTCAGGCTGGGCTGGGCTGGAGGAAGTGGCGTCCTGTAGGAAATAAGGGGTCGTTACGCAAAGGGGGACGGCAGCAGGGGAGAAGGAATTCCATATTTAAACAGTTGAGCGTGGACATGCAATGATGTACTCTGAGAACTATTTAATCGGTGCCCTTTGCTCAGGGTGCATGAGACAGTCGGTGCTAGCCAGCTGGCCTCCTGACACTCTATGACACAGAGGGAACCCCATCCAACTTTACTTTCCATCCATCTATTTTTGAATCCTTTTAACACTTTAGGAGAGAGAAAGAGAGAGAACAGGCAGGCAGGCTGTGTTTAACCCCCAGAGCCGCTTGCGGAGCCTGAAAGCTTGGGAGTAAATACAATTTCTTTGGCACTTGTTATAAAACATAAACGCCGTGTCCCACCGAATTATCAGGCTACGTATTCCACACTCTGGCATACTTACATATTCACAGGAAAGACAGACAGGGAGACAGAAAGGACTGTGCTGAGATGTTTAGAGAATTCGGGATTCAAGCTGCAGCGGTATTAACGAGGACAGGGAGGGGAGGGCAGCCCGGAACACAAACGAGCTCTCACATGAGTTCCAAAGAGACGGAGCAGACACACAAACATTCCTAGTTCCTTGCCTTGGCTGGATAACACGGCTGCAAAAGGTAAGGTTCTTTTCTCCTCCGGTTTTCGGGATCAGAGGTAACCTGGGGGCCTAGCACAGGTGGTCCCACTGCATCTGGGAACGAAGGCCGAGTCCCCAGGGAAGGACTCTCGCCACGGTTACCAGCATCTTTACGGGGGTCAAAGAATAGCTTGGAAGAGTGAGGAGGAGCAGAGCGTGGCCTTCCCGTGCCCGCTGAGCAGGAGACAATGCTGGGAGCCAGTGCTCGAGTGCCTTGGGCTGGGTCACGTGCAACACGAGAGCAGCTTTCCGATGCCACCGGGCAAATGTTATTGGCTAAACAAGGTACATATAAGCTGCTGACCTTTTTATTCCCAACTGCCTTATGACGTGGGTTAGAGCTCACATTCCCACTATAAACTGTCCTGGTGGCTGCACAGTGGCGCTGGGGTTGGGATGAAGCACTGGGGGACGTGGAACCTGGAAGCGAGGGCCCAGGACACACCACACCTTTGGGAGCTGATCTGGCTGCCAGGGGGACAGAGACAGGCTGGGGTGGTGAGGGGCTCTGCTGGCTGGGGGTGCCGGGTGGGGCGTAAGGCTTTGGTGAGCTCCGGTAGAGCGAGTCCTTGGAGGCACCGTGGAGGGCAGGGGGCTGCCATGCAAAGTGGCCCACTTTAGGGAGAGGAGGGCGTGGGGGAGAGAGAACCTTTAGTATGATTTTCAAGACACAATATTAAGACAGAGAAAAAAGAGAGAGGAGGGGAAATGGAAAGAAGGACGACCATTAGAAACAGCAGCATAACATGATCTGAAGAAAAAAACAAATCTAGACAAGTTTTTCAGCAAATCCTCAGCGTAGACTCTCATGGAGTCTACATCTCTCTCCGGGTCAAGCCGAGGACCGACTCACTCACCTGGAGGGGCAGGCCCGACCCCTCACCCGCAGGAGGGAGCTCAGCCAGGAGAGCCCCGCGCTGAGCCTATGTTGACGCCGATCCGTGGCTGACCTGCACTCTTAGACCTCCTGACTGAAGAAGGGTGCCCAGGGGCTAAGCCAGGGGAGGAAGCCCCAGGCCCCCAATTACTACACCTCCTCTCCTCAAAGATTCTCCTCTTTATGCTTTTGGCTTTAAAAGTTTAAGTTCACTGAAACCCTCAAGGGTCTTTCATGCTTTTCCCTCAGGATATGGAGACTGGGAAGAGCCATCCTTATTTGTGCTCCCAGGAGACAGAGGTCTAACGGAATCCCTGAGCTCTAGCACTCACTTCCATAAGCAGAACAAGCCACAGCTCCCCAAGAAGAGAGCGCTAAGGGCTTAGCACCCACATGTGCTCTCTCCTCGCAGGAAACAAGTCGATGGAACTAATTATTAGAAGGAAGACAGGCGTGGGCTGAAAAGCACGTAATCTCCAATTTTTGACGTACATGGAACAAAGGGATCAGACAATGAAGCACTCAGATTGGGCTGTACCTGGTTTATCAAACTCCAGCCATTCCCACCCAGCCCACTAGGAGGCAGTGCATTCTGGAGGGATGTGATCAGCCCCAGGGCTCCTGGCTTCAGAGCTAGAAAGCTGCAGGTCACATCTCACTCCCTCTCCCTCCACATGACTCCTCCTTGGGGCTCAGTGGAGCAGAAGGGCAGGAAATGGGGTAAATCTCCAGACTGATCCTCATGTCAGTGAGAGCCATCTGTCAACCTGTGGCTCACCTGGGAATTAGACCATAAGATGCGCAGTTTATTTTCCTAGTGTTGAATGGCTGAATGTCTGTGTCCCCCCAAATTCATGTGCTGAGCCCCTAACCCTAAGTAATAACTTTTAAAGGTGGACCTTTACGAGGCACTTAGGATTAGATAAGGTCATGAGGGTGGGCCCCCATGATGTGGATTAGTGTCCTTATAAGAAAAGGAAGTGACCAGAGCTCACTCGCTCTCTCTCTCTCTCTCTCTCTCTCTCTCTCTCTCTCTCTCTCTCCCCCTCCCTCTCTTTCCCTCCCTCCACCATGTGAGGACATAGTGAGATGAGCCAGGAAGAGAGCCCAAACCAGGAACCAAATAGGCCAGTACCTTGGACTTCGCAGCCTCCAAAACTGTGAGAAATAAGTGTATGTTGTTTAAGCCACCCAACTACGGTGTTTTGCTCCCGCAGCCCAAGCCTAGACACCTAGATGCCCTTCACTGGCCCCCGTCTTTAAAGATAACCGTCCTCCAAATGGCACAGGTGAGATCATTAGAGTGTGGTCAGTATCTGGGTTGTGACCAAAACTGGGAAGATACAAGGGTGTGGGTCTATTTTGAGGTTGCTTTTTATTTTTATTTCTTTGTGGAGTGCAGGTGGCAAGGGATAAAGGAATATTAGCAAGGGTAATCGATGAGAAATAAAAACGTTCTATGAGCCTGGATTAGAATATCAAGCCAGAAGCGGTAGATGACCTATTCCTTAACAAACTCGGTTTTCAAATAACCTGGATGGAGCAGAGCCTCCTTGGGTATCTTGGGCTGACTTGATGCCTAGCCTTCCACAGGCTGCCCATGACAGTGCCGGTGGAATGCGGCCATGTGGCAGCTAAATACTGGCCAAAAAGACAAAAGGAGCAGCCCCTGTTCAGTAGTAACCAGAAGCAAAGCCTTCCGGACGTGCTCACCTGGTCCTGGTGAGCGCAGGCTGGAGGCTGGGGTGTGTTTATGGACTAAACGATGCTCTCTAGAAACAAAGTGCTTGAACTGACACGCACCCCAGGGACCGTGGGGGTAAGGTGATCATGGTGGTCAGGGAAGTAAGTAAAAGACAATTTTGAATTAGGCTCAGATTTACTTTTATTTTGAGCTGGAGTGTCCCACATATGATTCCTTCTTGTCCAAAGATAGAAATCAATTGCAATGAGGTTTTAACTGGATTTGGCTCTGGCCATATACGGTGCCGCAGCTGCATTACATCAGGCGTGAGCCCTCCCAGGGCCTTGACCCGGGGGCGAGGACGCCTCCCCAGAGTGCTGACCACGCACTCGGAGCCAGAGGCCTTCCTGTCCTGGGGCTGCTTTTAGCCCCAAAGAAGGAGGGGGGCAGGCACAGTTCCTTTACACGGAAGGCGCTGCTTCATTGTAAACGTGGTAGGAACCACACTGGCAGCCTGCATCCTCCCCAGCAGGCTACTAATGAGATCTCATTTCTCTTAGCAGAAGGTGAGGCAATGAAAAGATGGGGCTGCTTGGAAGAATCTGTGCGGCTCCTAGTTTATACCGTTCCGGAAACTACCAATCCCCACCCCCACTGGGGACAGCAACACGATGATGCTGTCAGGGAGAGGGCAGCCCTGGCTCCTGTCACTGGGAGCAAGGGCAGCAGGGCAGCAGGTCCAGGCTGGCAGGAGGAAAGCAAGCCTGTGGGAACATCAGGGACAGGCTCCCCCTGAAGCTTCTGGACCCCAATCCAGTCCTGAGGAGATGCTAGGTCTGTAGGGATATGAGAGCCCCCATTTACCTGGCTGTTCTGGGACAGTGAATACTTGCAGCTTTGGCAATGGCTCTACAGACAAGTTGTATTCAGCCAACAAATTCAAGAGGTAAGGCATGACCTAAAGGTTCTTGACATCTGGACGGGCAACTTAACTCTGAACATACGGGATTCAACTGCTATAGCAGCAATTTACCAGGCTCCCTTTTAAAAAAGCAACGTCTCGGACAGTGACAGGTAAGAAAATATGCTATTCACAGGCGATATTACAGGATGTTCACACTTATATTATGAGGCTTACAAACTCCTCGAGGGCAACATTTAACACAGTGATCTGAACACAAGTGCCCAATAAAGCTGCGGTAAATTCATGTGTTTAAAGTGATTGTTTAGTTCACATGCTTTTAAAATCATCTCTTTTGAAGAGCTGCTTAAGAAGCCAAAAGGGATCAGTGAGCTCTCCTTGAGCTAAGTCACCGAGGGGAAGAGGCGTGCTTGTACGTTTGCCTGGCGTGGGTCAGCGCTGTTTCCTAACCGGGCCGAGCCGCCTGTACCCATTCTGAAGAAGGAAGCCTGTCGGACGCAGGCAGCACGCTTACCCGCCAGGAAGGTGGTAGAAAGGGAGAACTAGGGCACGCCACCTACTGGGCAACCCAGGTCCCGTGTCTGATGAAGACTTCGAGGCGCATTCGCAGCTCCTGGTTCTAACCAGTAGCCCTGGATGCACCGGGCCATGCCCCGGAGAGGCGGCCATGGTGGGGGAAGGCTTGGTGGTGCTGCTCGGCACACAAGGTAGACCATTAAGTGACCAGCTCTAAAGCTGGGAGGCGGGTCTACAGAGAGGAAGGAGGATGTTATCTCCGACTCGGTTTCTTTTCAGGGGCCAGTCCTCGGGAACAGGAACCAGAGGATCGCTGGAGAAGGCGTGTGGGAGCCAGGAAGGAAATGCAGAATTCCCGGGTCTGGCGGGTCCTGGGAGAAGGCACCCTGACAGAGGCAGGCACAGGGAAAGGACCCCCTGAGGAGCATATTTCTGCAATACATTTTGCGCAGCACAGCTTCCTTTAAAAGAAAGAACTGCTCCGTTCCATGGATGCGGCTCCTCTCTGTAAAGACGCCCCTCACAGATTGCCTGGATTAAAACAGGGTCCATTCCTTTCCTCAAAATAGCAAAGCAGCCACAGGGAGGGGCGGGCCATCAGTAAAACAATCTAGGACAAGGGACTGAAGCAAAATGATCTCTACTCCAGTTGTACACCTGGGGGCAGGGTGACAGGTTTAAACTACAGGTGCTCCCATTTTGACTCCTAGCTGCTGCTCCTGAGCCAGGGCGTGAGGTCTGGCCACAGCTCCCCATCTTAGGCTGAAAAGAGAGGAGTTGCTGGAACTCTTACAGCCCCACCTGCAGCTGGTTACCGGAATAAACACAAGAGTGCACTCTTGTCTTGAATATTATACTCTAAAGAGTTTTTAACAAACGGGCTCAGAACTTTTCCCCACATCCAAGGCCAAATGGCTTCCCTGTTCCAGAACATTCCTAAACACACATTACTATTATAACACATCGGGCCTCTATTTCCAATCCCCTGGTGCAGACCAACCTGGTTCCACGCCTCTGCTCCCCTCAACCCCAACTCTCCCTACGGCTGGTGCCTGAGTTTCTCCAGAGTGGCCAACAGCACAACTCTGAGCCAGCCCATTCCCCAGCGGAGCAAGCTGGCAGTACCATCTGAAGCTAAACGACTTAGGAACAGGTACCGCTCACTGGTGCCCACCCTGCCCTGGGCACATGCCTACCTGGGGCTTGTCGGAAGGAAGGTTGGGGTGCACGCTTCTGTAGCCCTTGGCAGCGAGTGAAGAGGGCTGGGCGTTTCCATTGGCATCAGCACTGGAAGAAAGCCGCCACTCATCTGCGATGGAAGAGAAAACAACACCCTCACTCGCAGGGAACGCTCCGGGTTCCCTCTAATTGAAGGGTCCCGGGTGGAAGGCAGGACAGAAGAATCAAGGGACACATACCTGCTGGGAGATTCTCTGACTCCAGCACTGTGTGTGGTGCAGAAAGGATGAAAACAAGAAAAAGGGAGGGGGGGACAGAAATGGTTACATTTGCAGGAAACAAGCATGCGCCCGACAGAAAGGCGCAAGTCCAGCGCCCGGCCGCCGGACACAGAATGCCCTCAGTCACAGCGGCCTAATTACCATAGGAACCCACTCTAAGCCACGATGTGCTCACAGGCGCTGACCTTTGCAAACACAAGGCTCACATTCACAGCAATGAAGAAACAATTGTTCCTTGACATTCTTATTTTACAGACTGAAAGGCAACAGAACTCCACTGTCCAGTTCCTCCTCACTAAATCTCATCCCCTCCTTCACGCCTGATGTGGGCACAGAGTGCCCCCTCCTCATTAGCAGGGGACTAATGAGCAGACCCCAGAGAGGGAGAGTAGATGAGCACTTTTCCCGTGGCTGCTGGTGCTGGGCTTGGGGACAACATGATTTCAGCCCAGAGGTATCTGCTGTGGTAAGGGCTTCTTTTCTCCCCACTGCTTTTCTTCTTTCTGTTAAACGAGCCACATAAACATTTAAAATCTAATCACCCTTTCTGAGTTTTCACTGCACTACAAGGCACCCTTGTCTCCCTCCAGCCGGCTACTATCCTGCCCTCCCAGTCATTGCCCAGCACATCTGAGACCCTAAACCAGTGATGGCGAACCTTTTGAGCTCAGCGTGTCAGCATTTTGAAAAAACCTAACTTAACTCTGGTGCCGTGTTACATATAGAATTTTTGATATTTTTGCAAACATAGGTTCGCCATCCCTGCCCTAAACCTCTCCTAACTTGACCCACTTAACGCCATGGGGCAACAGGGCACAATGGTCATGAGCTCGGCTGGAAAGGCAGCTGGACCTCAATTCAAATCTTGACTCTATCACCTGTGGGCTCTGTGTCCCTGGGCAAGTGATAAGCCTCAGTTTCTCCATCTGAAGAATGGGGATAATGATATGCCTGCTTCATAAGTGTTGTTTTAAGAATTAAATGATACAATGCATGAGAAATGCTTAGCCCACACCTGGCAGAGCTCAGTAAATGTCTACTCTGATCATCTTCTGCATCATCTCTCGCCTCTCTTCGCTATCCTCCCTCCATCTAGCCCAGTGGTCGGCAAGCTTTTTCTAAGAATTAAATGATACAATGCATGAGAAATGCTTAGCCCACACCTGGCAGAGCTCAGTAAATGTCTACTCTGATCATCTTCTGCATCATCTCTCGCCTCTCTTCGCTATCCTCCATCTAGCCCAGTGGTCGGCAAGCTTTTTCTGTAACAGGCCACACAGGAAATGTTTTAGGCTCGGCGGGCCATATGGTCTCAGTGACGACTACTCAACTCTTCTGTTGCAAAACAAGAGCAGACATGGATGATATGCATATGAACCAGTATGGCCACATTCTAATACACCTTTATTTACAGACACAGATTTGAATTTCATGTAATTTCCAAGCGGCATATAATACTCCTTTGATTTTCTTTCAACCGTTTAAAAATAGAAAAATCATTCGTAGTTCACAGGCTGTACAAAAATAGGCACGGCCACATCTGGCCCATGGGTATATTTGCCAACCCCTGATCTAGCCAATCCCTCAGCTTCCTTCTTCTCCCTGGGCGCCTGCTCTTGTCTGACTCTGTACAGAGATAAGAGGGAACAACACAGCAGTTCTCCCAGCCCGAGGCTCCACTTCAGTGTGTCCCTCAAGGACTAGAGATGGGCTTTCCAGAGGTCAAGTTGAGATTTACACACATTTATTGAACATTTTTCTGCCAGACACTGTTAGTCACTTTTGCTCCTATTTAGTATTTTAGTGCACACGAGGCTTTACTTCATGGACGAGGAAATAGAAAGGCCAACTGACTTGCCCAAAGTCACACAGCCAGGCGACGACAAAGCAGTCAGCCCAGGTCTCCAGAATGAAGTACGGCGCTCCGCCCACCATCCGTAGGATAGTCAGCAACCCCACATGGGCCACAAAGCAGAGCCTACATTTCAGGGAGGTGGGGGAGCCACAAGGTGTCAGAGCTGCATCAGAATCACAGAGGACAGACTGCTGTGCTCTGCCCCTCAGAGCCTCTGACTCATGATGGGAGGTCAGTCCAAAAATCTGCATTTTTAACATGTTCCCAAGGGAGGCCAAGGCTGATGGCCCATAACCTATACTTCGAGAACCACTGATATAAGGAATACTTAAAAACATCCTGGTTCTGGAAAACTAACTATATCTATTTTTGTTTGCTTATTCCCCCCCCACCCCTGCCCCAATCTGGTTAGAGTTTTTACAGATTTCAGTTGTATATTCCTTTAGTAGGTTGTCTGTTGCATTTCTGCTGCTCCCTTATGGACAAATCACAGGTATTTGTCTTCTCTTCACAACCACAGAAGTTGGGAAATTTACAGGACTTGAATTTTATTCACATTATTGCAATGTATTAGCTTGTGTGACCAAGGGCAAGCTGTCAATCACTCGAAACTTCACTCTCATCATCTATAAATCATAATCCTTACTCGCAGCGTTGCTGGAGCTCCAGAGGTCAGGTATGTGAAGTAGCCTCAACGTGATCATTTTCAACCCTCTCTGTTGCCTCCATCCAGAACCCTGGCCCTCACATCAAACAGATCCTGAAACACCAGGTGACACACTGTGACAATGACGCTCCCTACTCCCTGGCACCTGTCACTTTTACTGTCCCACCCTCCTTTCTACATTATTTCTCGTCTACCTTTGTCAATCATCCTATCAAGTTTATTAGATTTACAAATACACTAACTAAAATATCCATAGGCTCTGAGTGAGGAGGGGCTTTTCCTTAAAGGATGTGAGCTTTCTGCATGGATTTAGGGCACCTTATTTTGCACCTTCTTTGGTTCTCAGTTGGGTTGCTTCTACTCAGTGACACTGGCAAACATTATGTCGTGGAAAACTGAGAAGAGTCTGTGCCGCTGAAGGTCTGGGCATCATAAAGGGACTCCCGTGTCGGCACCAGACTGCCCGGTTTGAGTCCTGACTATCTCGCTAACTGCACGTCCCGCAGCAAATGACTTAGCCTCATTTGTGAAAGAGACATTATCTACCTCTTTTGAGTCATGAGGATCAAAGGGAAATGTCTGGCATAAGTATGAGCTCAGTAAACTAGGAATCCAAAACATAAGGGAAAAAAATCTGCCCAGACATAGAGGTAAATTAGAGTTGCTAACATCTGCCATTTGATAAATAGTGTCAAGAACATAATATTCTTGGGGCTCAACCCACTTTTTCTTCTAATTCCAAGTCATTAAAACGGTTCTCCTTTCCCTGTGGGTCCCAGGACCTCTCTGAGCAGTCCTCCCCTCTCATCCTTTACAGGACAGCTGTGTTTCTGCAGTTTCGTCACCCTTCATCCGTTACCCAGTCTTCTGAACCTTGAAGGCTGGTGGCAGCAGGACCATTATGTGCCCGAGTATAGCATGTGAAATCTTATACACATAACCATCAGCTATTAACTTTGATGTGAGGAGACTATCAGAATGCTTCCTTTAATAAATGTTGGAAAGCTGGGTCCTCTACAGCTCGGAAGAGACCCGAGCCTTCCCACAAGAAGGAAGTAATATTTATTTTGCCTTATCTCTTTGTGAAATCTTATACACATAACCATCAGCTATTAACTTTAATGTGAGGAGACTATCAGAATGCTTCCTTCAATAAATGTTGGAAAGCTGGGTCCTAGGTAGGCTCTACAGCTCGGAAGAGACCTGAGCCTTCCCATAAGAAGGAAGTAATATTTATTTTGCCTTATCTCTTCCTCCATCTGTCTTTCACAGACAATCTTTTCTGGCCTGAGACCACAGCCCCCTGACATTTTTTTTGTATCTCTTTCTGTGCTAATTTCATTTTGATCTGTTCTACATTGTTTTACTGATCAGTTCTTCTTGGAATCTTAGGATAACTTTCTCTGAGAGAATTGACACATTCTGTAGAGTGTCTAACAGATGAGATGTGTTAAAGTGGCTCTACGAGTGTTTTAAGCTCTTTATGTTTGTTTTTTACTCATGTTATGTGGTAAAGAACTTAACCTTACTCAAAAAGACATCTGGCTCTGCCCTCTGACTTCTGGGAGTTATTCTCTAAACCCCTGGAAGGTCATCCTGATAGGAGTGTCTGTGCCACACCAATAATGTGATTGAGGGTATCAGCACATAGGCAGTGGGAAAGCCTATGTAAGGAAGTCTCAACAAAAACTCTGGACATGCCCAGCCAGTGTGGCTCTGTGGCTGAGCGTCAGCCTATGAACCAGGAGGTCATGGTTCCATGCTGGGTCAGGGCACACGCCTGAGTTGCAGGCTTGATCCTCAGTAGGGGGCATGCAGGAGGCAGTCGTTTAATGATTCTCTCTGATCATTGATGTTTCTTTCTCTCTCTCCCTCTCCCTTCCTCTCTGAAATTAATAAAAATATATTTTTAAAAAACCAACAACTCTGTGGACACGTGGCTCAGGTGCACTTCCTGGTTGGAATATCTGAGCATCGTGTACACTTCAACGCCAGGAACTGCATGTCCTGACTCCACAGGAGAGGACATGGGAAACTCTGTGCTTCTCCTGGCTGATTTTAATCTGAAATAAACCATAACCATGAGCACAACAGCTTTCAATGAGCTCTTTCAGTTCTTCTAGCAAATGATCAACTCTGAGGATGGTTTTGGGAATCCCCTGAACTTGGAGTTGGTATCAGAGTGAGGGTGTTCTCTTTTGGGGAATTTCCCGCCATCTCTCGGCCCTGATTCTCACACATGTGCTCATAAAAAGGACTCTGCAGTAACAAGGGCAGGAAGTGCCTTTAACTGCTTCAATGTTAATTTTCTCATGACACCTTTCTGCTCCTGCCATTTCTGGAGAGCAAATGCGAGGCTCAAACTAGAGGAAATGAGCTGATTGCAGGTCCAAGAATCTTCAGGTCCAAAGCTGACTTGTTTCTCAAGAACCGGGCAGGAGTGGAGCCAACTGGCACAGAATGAGCAACATGTAAGATTTGACCTGGCTTTTGGCTTGTGAGTCAAAATGCAGGGACTGATGGTCTTCAGGCTACACCAGACAGGAAGCATATCACACCCATCACCAGTTCAGGCTCCCTGTCTCCTTTTGAGTAAAAATGCCCTGACCTGGGATGTGGTGGGGTCACTCTGAACCACAGGGCCAACACTGAGACTGCCAGGCAATGGCATCAGGGAGCAGGGATAAGGTAATGCCTCACCCAGTAACCTTAGTGGTTCTGATTCAAAAACCAAGGCCCACGTTCTGAGATTAGGAGGTTGGTTGGGAAGCCATGGTCAGGGACCCAGAGTCAAGCTACCACTTGAGAGCAGGAGTCTGGACTGTGGGTTTGAATTGGGGAACCCCAAAGGCTCCATTTGTCCCTAATCCCCAGCATCTCCACCTCCCCATGTTCATGTGATCAGGTGGCTCCCAAATCCATACTTCGACTCCAAATTTCCTCAAAGAAGTTCTTTCCTTGCCAAAAAAATTCAAGATGTCTAACAAAGGAATTCAACAGCCCTTCACCTTCCTGCATAAATCCACCATCTCCATGAGTGCCGGTTATTCTCCTGTCCGCACTGAGCTTTACCCCTCCGTGCTCCTTACACACACTGCACGGAGCCCTGCCCTTTCACTCTTCCGAATCCACTCACCCTTGGCCCCTGCTCTTCATTCCTGCTGCCACCACGCCAGGCCCAGGCCCTCATGGCCTCTAACTGAAATTGCTGAACCTCTTTGAAGGGCCTCCTGTCTGCAGTAATTAGAATGGTTACATGCCTGGCACTGTGTTAAGTGTTGATATGATAGAGCTCATTGAATCCCAACAACTCTATTACGATCATTCCTATTTTGTAAATGAGAAATTGAAGCTCTCTAGGGCTGAGTGATTTGCCCATATCACAAAGACGGTAAGTGGCAGAGCTGAGCCTCGGAGAGCTCTATGATTCAGGGACAAGCCCAGCATGAGAGAGTTGGAGCAAGGACTAGAAATAGGGAGTATCTCTGAAATGTGGGTGTCAAAGGCCCATGTAGGAAAAGAAATCAGATGCAGGTGCTGGGCAGTGTGGGGGACTGGAGCTTCCAGTCTAGGCCAATGATCAGCAACTTGGAGACCTGTAGGAATGGAAGATGGTGGCAAAGGCAGGTAGCAAGGTGAGGGGAGGGGTAGACAAAGCAGCCGGGGGACATATACTGGCCTAGTGATCAGGGAGAGAGCTGGACACTATCTGACATTAGTTCTCTGTGAAGACATTGGGAGTAGAAAGCATGCCCAATCCTTGGCAAGAGCCACTCATTACTGCACACTTGGTAGGGCTTCCAGTCCAGGCTGGGCTTCCAGTCCAGGCTGGGCATGGCTACCTGCAAATATTGTTCAAGACTGTTTTCATGAGGCAGGTCCAGGCCCAGTGCCCCACAGGCACAGGACAGGACTTCAGACTGGTGTGGGCCAACAAGTTGTCATCCAGAGGCCCAGAGGGAGGGAGTAGGCAGGGATGAGAGGAGGACGAGGGAGCCAGGATGCTGGTCCATGAGCAGCAGAGTACAGCGACAAGATCCCCACTCCTGAAGGTCCTATCTCTAGAGTCACATCCTTTTAACCTCACCCCCAGTATTAACTCATTCCAGCTCTTAATCAGTACGGGGCTCCCTGCCCTCCCTACTTAAAGCAAACTTATTCCTTCCCACTCAAACTGCTCTAGTACACAATCTTGAATTTGTCCAGTGAATGGAAATCAGTTTGTGTCAGGTCAGTTTCCAAACTTGTCAGGCCACAGAGCATTTTGGGACTAGAATGGCTTGGAAACCATATCACCCAGTCCCTCATACTTCAGATGTGCTTAAAATGTGTGACTTAACCACGGTCAGAAAGCAGGTAGTGGATTAGGGGCCCACACCTGGCTCTCCTATTACAACAAACTGCCTTCTGACTTCACCTAATGCACCCAGAATTATACTCCCTTTTCCTCCCTTCTCCCCCCTTCTCATCACAATTCCCAGCGACTCGCTTAGTGTCTGACACAGAGATGATGCTAAGTGAATGGCTGAATGAATAATTTGGATTCAGCGATCTCAATTTATGAGGATGAAAATAATCTACTAAGATTAATTTACTGTGAAGTGTGAATGACTGATAGCTATCCCCTAATTCTTCAGAGTTTTTGCATTTTAAAACATGATCTTTTATCACCCAAATTAGCTGTTATAAATTTATAAGACATAGAATTATTTGGGAACTAGAGAGAGTTTCCTAAAGTGACTCAAATAACTGCACAGTCCTGTAGTGAAAGCCTACTGACAGTGTGGCCCTGGATGGGTAGCTCAGTTGGCTCAAGTGTCATCCTGATATGCCAAGTTTGAGGGTTTGATTCCCTGCCAAGGTACATATAAGAATCAACTAATGAATGCATAAATAAGCGGAACAACAAATTGATCTCTCTCTCTCTCCCCACTCCCCTACCCCTCTTTCTCTAAAATCAATCAATTAAAAAAAAAAAGAGTAGTATTTGCATTCTGATAGTGCCACACTATAACCACCAGGGGGAGCTCAAGGCTCCTCCTTCCATTCACCTCTCACTCACCACCAGAGAAAGGGCCAGGGGGTGGCCAGTGTTTTATTGGGCCATTGGGCTGGAGGAGGGTTTTTCTCTTTAACCATCACTTGGGATTCTCTCTTCCCCTAACGTCCTCCAGCTTGGGAGCTGGATTTTCCCAATTAGGCCTGAAGAGGCTGGATTAGACTTGTTTTAGGAAGAAATTATTTTGCCTTCACTTCCTGGCCCCACCTTTCCTGGAGACGAGAATGGCAAACAGCAGTGGGGCAAGAGTCAGGTGTAAACTCAGGAATGGAGGGCCACGAAGCTACTTTTGAGTTTTAGTGCTGGAGGCCACTCACGTTTTCCCTTAGTCAAGGGAGAAGAAGCTCACACTCCAGCCTGGCCTCGCCCTCGGACATCTGCCTTGGCACCTGCTCCCGGTGGATGGGACAGAAAGAAAGCCAGTTCCCAGGATGCTGGGCGCTGACCACCCCCATCTTGTCTAACTCCCTTCTATCACCACACACTGCTCCCCACTGTGCCAAAGAGTTTTCATGCCCCCCTTCCTTTCCTCTCTGGTCCCAAGGGGGTCGTCATCACCCCAATTCCTTTTCTCCCTTCATTTCCTTCCTTTAAGAAACTCCTATCCCCTATAGTAGCTCTCAAATGGGGTCCTCGAACAGCAGCATCAGCCTGACCTGGGAACGTCAGAAATGCAGAACCTGGGTCGGCACCCCAGCCCCTCAGGGGGGAATCAGGAATTCTAAAGCTCTGACGCGGGCCCAGGAACCTGTATTTTTATCCAGGTGATTCTGATGCAACGCAAGTGTGAGGACCGCCCACTGCCCACAGAGGAGAGGGTCGTCCCGCCCGATCCTGACGGTGCCTGTGGGACCTCAACATCAGCGTTTCCCAACTCCCAGGACCCTTGGGTTGTAGAGAGCTCTCTCCAAAGCGGCCAAAATAATCAGGTCTTCCCAAGGTTACCGAGTATTTAGAACTAGAATGGCTTGTAAGCCATCTTGCCCAAGTCCCTCAGGTTTCACATGTGTTCAAAGGTGTGACTTATCCAAGGTATGAAAGCACTACCAAGGTAGTGGATGAGGGGCCCATGTCTGACTCTCCTGCTGCAACAAATGCAGCCCATTCCATGCCACCAGGTGTGGTGCAAAACACCTCCCGCACTTGCATCCTCACAGGGATGCGGGAGGCAGTGCAGATGAGACTACCAGCCGTGAGAGACTAACTATATCCCCGGACTCGCACAGCCAATAGGTGAAGGGGCTGAACACAAATCTACCAGCTCCCGAAGTCCCAGGTCTAAACCTAGACACCCAGGCTTCCCGAGTGGCGGGTCGTGTGGGGAGCTGTGCTTCAGAGGGGCTTCTTCGTCTCTGTAGCTCCTAGTCTGCACTGGTCTGAGGCCTGCTCTTTTGGTCCTGCTCCCTGAGCTGCCAGGTCACCCCCCGCCAAGCCTGACCCCTGCCCCACCTCTGGTCTCCTGGGAGCCAGGTCAGTCAGCCGCCTAAACTTCTCAGTGTCCTCTGGCTTTCTCTCAGCCCCAGCCCTGCCTGGCCAGGCACAGCCAAGCCCTCAGAGACACCTAACCACTAGCCCATCTCTCCACTGCCCCCCCAGGCCTCCAAGCCTCTCCATCCTCACCAGTGCAGTCAGCAGAGACCCCAGCTCTGAGATAGGGTGTCTGCCCACCTGTCCAGTCAAAAGCTAAAATAAAGTGGTGGTTGCTGCTGTGCCTCTGTCAGAAGCAAGAGGACCCTGTCAGTTCAGGGCACTGATCACCATGTATCGCAGATGGGACAAAAAGCTGAGTGACCCAGGGGCCCCTGGGAGAATCAGGAAGCAGCTGATGAATCTGTGCCCTTCCCAGGTGACTTGAATACCTGCTCCCAGTCACAGGGGTGGCTCACCTGGTTTGCTTTCGTATTGTGGGCTTTCCTGAGGGCTCACAGGGCTACTGCTTGGGGTGTCCCTGTAGGAGGATGAGGCCCGGAGAGTCACGGCTCCCTTCCCAGTGCAGACTTTTGTAGGATCCATGTCTGAAAAGGAAAAGATCCAAAAGGGAGGACTGAATGCAAAGCTCCTAGAGGATTAAGCAACAGTCAGCAAGCAACTTGTTACAGCTGGGGGATGAGATGAACCTGGGCACAGCCGCACAATCTTATGGTCAATGAAAATTAATTTGTGGGTAGTGGAGAGGAATGAACCCCATTTTCAGAGGTTTACCACCCATCATGAGGTTAGAGGGAAATGGAGTATATGTATGAGTTACAATATCAGCTGAAGACTTTTCAAAATGAAAGCGGGTTTATTTCTTTTATTAAATGAAGTGTAGGTTGGTGAGCAGATGTCTGACCAATTAGTAAGGCACAGAGTTTATGAAAGATTTCTCAAGTTTCCAGACCATCCGTCTTAGAAAAGCTCTAGGCACATCAGGAATTCAGTGGTTTTCTGCAGAGAATCCCTTCTCTGGTGGGAAAAGGAAAAGAAAACCTGCATCAGCAAGTCAGGACCCTGAAAAGATGAGACAGGATCTGCTGCCTGGGCAGAAAGACCAGGGGTGAGAGAGCCTTGCATTCCAACTTAATGAAGAAAATTCACACCAAAGGAAAGGACCAGGAATGCTAAAGCCTTCCCTGAACAGTGTGCGCGGCACCCAGCTGAGCCGTCACTGGGTCCCGACCTCTCCGCAGGTGACAATGGCCTAATAACAGGCCCAGGTCATCTTTCAGAATCGCACTGAGAAGGGTTTCAAAACAGGCTTCAAAAGAGCTGGCTGCTCACCCTCCCAAGAGTCGGCCCGGGAGGCGCCGCCAACGCAGAGCACAACCCTAGCAGGCGCACGTGCTCACGCTTCTTTCTGTGCGGCCGAGCTGAACTGAATTCCGCAGCACAGCTGGGATCGCTGACCTAAAATCGTCAAGCCTGGGATTATGAGGTCAAGTTTAAGGTGGGCAGTGGACAGGATGGGGGCTCAGACATCCACCTCATTCCCAGGCCTGTGCCAGGCGGAGAGAAGCGAAGCCTCTTTTCCAAGTTCAGCCCAATTCAGAGGGTCCCTGTGCGGCCACATGAATTCTCCGGGAGACTGGAGTTCTAAATAAAGTATTGAGAGCTGGAAACCTCTAGGGAGAGCCTAAGAAGTCCATGTACCTCAGACCTGCACAGAGTAAATGCTTAGCCTCTGGGTGACCCTTCTCCTAAAGAGAGGAAGGGGCACAAGGTAGCTGTCAGTTTGTCTCCAGACTGGCTGGCTCACAGAAACACACACACACACACACACACACACACACACACACACACGCACACACAGAAATGAAGAAAGGAAACCAACCGAGGAAGTGAGAGGGAATGGCTCCTAAGCATGCAAGGATTAAGCCTCCAGTCTTTGTTAGAAGGAAAGAAGAAACACCATGCATGATCTGCTAACAATTAAAAGAAGAAACCAACTCAAGGAGAGGTACCTGGAGGGAGTACTAGGCCTGGAGAGCTTTTCACTGTCTTCACAGGAATTATTTTAACAGCAGAAATAGAGCGTGCGCGTGAGGGGTCGGTGGTTGCTGCAAACACAAAAGGGTAAATGGTGCCTCCAGGAAGGACATTAGGAAACACTCAGGCAGTTGAGGGACTCGGCAGGGACAATAGGAGGAAGTCGCCCACATGAAAAGAACACTAGAAAGAGCAGTAGATGCAGTGATTTGAAATAACCTGCTTTCTCTCTTTAGAGTTCTGTGCCAAGACGGCAGAACCCTCCCTCCTACCGGTGCCCGCGTGCAGTTGGTCAGTGTCTCTGTACCTCCTGCCACACCAGGAACTTGCCAAGATTTAGAGATGCAGATGGCCTGGCAAATAGAGGAAGGGGAGAGAATCAGGGTCCAAGGGGCCCCTGAAAGAATGCTGGGGTGTCTGCGCTGGGTTGTGGGTGAGTGTGCTCCGAGAAGGAGAGCTATGGCTCTGGCCCCAGGTGAGTGGAGGAAGGAAAGGGACCAGTCTGTGAGTTGCCTGGTTCCTTCAGCCATCACAACTGCTTCCACAGAATCGTACCTTCTGGGGTCCTGTGCCTCCTCTGACAAGTATAGCCCTCTGTCCCCAAGCAAATCAGAACCCCCATCTGTCAGGCAGCAGATGGTCTTGCTTCAACCCACCCTTTCTCGGGCAAGAGGTTGCCAAGTGTCCAAGTGCATATTCAAGACTCAGGGCAGCACCTAAGTGCGCAGCCCAGGATCTGACACCGGCTGAGCTTTCAGACCAGGAGAACTCGTGGGGCGCGGCAAGGGCTGCACGTGTGAAGGTACAAACACGCTTTCGCAGCAATCCTGTTTATTCACTGCTCTCTAAGACCAGCTGGGAGACTGGCTGGTGGGAGACTTCTGTTATGTTACCATTTTCAGAGGAAGAAGCCAGAGGCTCAGACAGCCGCTCAGTCACCCAGCTTCACTCAAGGAGAGAGGCTGAGGCTAGAGTTCACTGTCCCGGCACTGGGTTCAGGGACCTCCTCGGGCCACCAGGATGACCTATGGTTGCATCTGCCTCCTCTTCCCAACCAAAGGTGATTTTTACTGAAGAGGGAGCGGAAACCACCTCCATCTGCCGCCCTCCCCCCGCACCTGGAGCCTCTTCCTTAAGTGGATTCACAGGGACGGGGTTGCTGGCACCACAGGCTCTTTAAGCATCAGAGCCCATCCTCTCCGTGCTCCTCACTGGAGGACTGAACCCTCCCCTGGAGCCACTCCACAGGCACCGCCCTTCAACATCCCCTGGTGCAACTCCGCCTGATCGTCCAGGACCCCGAGAACACGGCCCCACACCCTGAGTACAGGAGGGCGGCCAGCAGGGAGGCAAGAACAGGCTGGCAGCAGGACATCTCTTGACAGAGAAAGCGCCCCAAACCACCACCCCACTCCCCACCCCTCCGCTCTCTATGCCTTCCCTCTCCGGCTCTTCCTTCTGACTTTGCATTTGGCCTTGTCGAAAAAGGAATACTTGGCTAAACCAGCCTAAAATTACAAAAGCCAAACACATCAAACTCTCTGAAGTTACTTAAATGCCCAACGATAGGACTTCTGCCCTCCCTCTCTGATACCCTAAAATTTAGTGGGGTGAGCATGGAGAGAACCACTGGCACCCAGAATCTGAAGCAGGAATAAATACTGCAGATCATGCAATGCCTGTGTTTTCTAGTCACACCCATGAGGACAAAGGACCTCCTGAGATGTCTGTACCTTATCACTCCAACCCACCCCTGGCTGCAGAAGAGCCACGGGAAGCCCCGCTGCCTGCTACCTGGGCAGCCACATCGAGACATTCGGGATGAGAGATGACAGGGCAAATGGGACCTCAAAGGTCATCTTATCCATCACTCATTTCGCACTTAAATCTTTCATCCTAAAATTTTTAAAAACTGAAAATATGAGAGGATGTGCATGAAATGAATGCCACTGAAATCATTTATTTCAGCAACAAAGGCTCCTGCCTCAGGGTCAGGGCTATGAAGGTGAAATGCCGGTGAGGAAAACTTCAGGCTGATAAATGCCATATGCAGCAGGCAGGAGGTACACCTTGGTCTGTATATTTGATCTGTTATTTGAAACACCCTGTGAGCAAGGGACAGTTTTTAATAAGTCACCTCACAGTGGAAAGCAGCAGCCTCAGACTCCTGAGATACAAGACCATGCTCACGGTTTCAGAAACTCAGTGTGGGAAACAGGTCCCCAGTAAAGGGCCTGATTGGACCATGACTATTCCCACTGGGCAGGTGGTCCCGCCCCAACATCCTGCTCCTTCTAGAAACGCTTCCCAGTACCAAGCCGGGCTTCCCTTTAAAAATCTTACCTTTGTCTTGCCCATTGCTGCCTGGTGCCAACCCGTTCACCACGGCTTTAGAAGAGCCAACGTCACATTCTGGAGAAAGAAAGAAGCATGAGGCTAGGGATGAGGTCTCCCCAACATTTGTTGAGTCCCACCCGGTGGGAGGTGCTGGGGACGTGGGGGCTGCTCAGGCCTGGAGATGGGCCCCCTTGGGTGTCATGGGAGAATTCGGAGTACTGTGTGTTGTCTGGACCAGGAGAGAAGGCAAAAGCTGTTTTCATGCTGCTCTGTCCACCAGAGGTTAAAACAAGTGTTTCCCACAGAACTGCTTTCTTCCTAATGATCATTTTTAATAGCGGCATATTATTCCCCCATGTAAATACACAGCATGAACCTAGAGAGACCCCACCTTTATGTGGATGGTGTTTTTGTTTTCTTGGAATTAAGACAGAAATTCCCAAGAGTGGAGTTGTCAGGTCAGAGGGTCCAGACTTTTTGGACTCTGGCTGTGAAAGCCTCCTTCTAGCACCACCCGAGAGGGAGAAGTAGGGAGACCTCACACAGGCACTTCCACACCCTCGCCCTCCGGCCCGGCCCTCCCCTTCTACTTCCTCTGCCCTTATTTTGCCAGGAGTAGGTAGCAATGCAGTTTGGGCTAATTTTGATATTAGAAGAACAAAAACTCTTTAGGCTGCAGAGCCAAAGTTTAAAAAAATGATAACAAAAATGAAAAAGCGTTACAAAGCAGGAGCTGCTGGCAGTACCTGAGCCCCTTGGAGGGAAGAGGTGTGCAGCATCTTATGCATAACAAGAGCACCGAAGGCATCAGGGGCCAGTCCCTCCCCTCCCAAGGAGGTCATCGGAGCTGGGAACCCATGGACGGAAGACCAGCCAAGCCTGGCGCCAGGTACTCAGTACTTAGGGAACAAGGCCTCACTTAATCCTCACACAATCCCAATGGATTGGTGCTTCTAGGATGTCTGTTTTACGGGGGAGAATGCAGAGAAGGGTCCACCACAGGCCCAAGGTCACACAGTGGTACCTGAGGAAGCCAAGTTGTGGCCCTGAGCTATCCCACCCAGAGCCCTCCTCAGTCCTAAGCACACACTGTCCGCCCAGTTTAGGACCTGGCTAAAAAGGCACTGTATGTAAATATGTGGAAAGACTTGTTTCTCATCCTCTGAGATTTCCGGAACATGCTGGAAATAACTCAGGATTGGGACACCCTTGAATAAGCTAGTCCTTTGGTCATCCCCCTCACCCCCACAGCCTACAGGTCACGGGAGGCTCCAGGCAGGCTCAGTGGCTGAGGCGGGCCCAGTGGCCGAGGCAGGCCCAGTGGCCGAGGCAGACAGGTCTTAATCTCCAAATGGAAACTTCTCTGCCTCAAACTCTTGGCTGCACAATGAGCAGGGGCTTGTTCCATTCCCCGTCTTCCCTAGCCCATGCTTTCCACCCCAGCTCTAAATGCAATATACTCAAAACTGGTCATTTGTGTAGGTCTTGATTTTTACTACCACATGCACAGCAAAAGGGGAGCACACCGCTCCGTCAGCCTGGATGAAGTAAGTGTTAGATTAGCTTGCACCCAGGGGCAATTATAGTCCATTGGTTTCTTTTTGCTGCACTCACTGGGATTAAGAAATGCCACTGAGGTGTATACATGTCAAAATTTATCAAATTGCATACTTAATAGATCCACAGTTTACTGTATGCCAATTATACCTCCATAAAGTTGTTAAAAATAGAGAGAAAGGAAGCTATTACAAAGATGAGGACACATGCATGTAAAGTGTATAGCATAGTTCCTGTCACGTGGTAGAGAATAAATCCTCAACAATGCATGTGATGATAGTGATGATGACGATTTATGACAAAGCTCTGGCACTTACCCAGGTCTCAAAAATAAAAAATGAAATGTAGTTGGAACCTTCAGAGTAAGTAAGAAATCTGGGTAAACTGCCCAGTTTTGTAGATTTGTCGAGAAGAAAAGGGTTTTAAATGACTTACCAGAGCTCATGGTGGTGACAGGACAAGTCTTTTGCAACTGGGGCTCGGCACTTGCTCTGCAGAAAAACAAAACCACACAATGAAACCAATGAATGGCAGGTTCAAGATAAGTGCCTGTGGCTCACATTGAAAAGGAAAAAACAACACATACATCCTTGATAAAACAGAGCTGAACCAGGAGTCAACGTGGCCAAGCTTCTGGTCTGCTGCGTACTAACACGACCGCGGGCACATCACTCAACCACCTTGGCCACAGTTTTGTTGCCCGTACTTGATTTCAATACTATGCAAGGTCTCTTCCAGCTCTAATCCTATATAATAAAACCCTGATATGCAAATCAACCAAACGGTGGATCTACCGGTCACTATGATGCGCATTGACCACCAGGGGGCAGGTACTCAATGCAGGAGCTGCCCCCTGGTGGTCAGGGCACTCCCACAGGGGGAGGGCCACTCAGCCAGAAGCCAGGCTCACAGCAACATTTGGGCCGTGAACCAGGCCTCTAGTATTCGAATAAAACCCTAGAGTTACATGAGTGCACATGGGTCACGGAGAGAGTGAAGTTCGGAAAGAACCAAGTTTTAGGAGAAAGATGAAATCACAATATTATTGGAGGTTAATAATAACAACAACAAGAGCAGCAGCAATAAATATGGCTCATAAGGCACAGGGAAATGTTCAAGATGCTTTAATTATGTTAATTCACTTGATCCTCACAATGACCCTACAAGGCAAGCACTAACACTGTGTTGGTTCATACAGATGAGGAAACCGAGGTGCAGAGAGGTGAACAAAGAGTTGCTACTGGAACCCAGACAGCCTGACTTGAAAGCCCAGGCTCTTAGGCACTGCACTCACCACTGACACTCAAATGAATAACCCTCTCAGTTAGTATGGTCTCATCACCAGTAATGTCACTAGTTTCTTCTTTCCTAGAACTTCATGTAAATGGTATCATAATGCATGTAATCTTCTATATAGCTTTTCTTGCTCTGCATAACACAATTTAGCATTTGGCCACATATATGTGGGCCTATTTCTGGACTTCATTCTGTCCCACGGATCTGTCTTTATGCAATAACTCACTGCCTTGATTACTGTAGCTTTATCGTAAGTGTTGAAATCAGGTAGCATGAGTCTTCTAACTTCGTTCTTTTTCAAAATCGTTTTGGCTTTTCTAGGTCCTTTGCATTTTCATATAAAGTGTAGAATCATCTTTCAACTTTTACCAAAAACAAAACAAAAAGCCTGCTGGAATTTTTATTGTGATCATTCTGTAGTAAGAAGGTCAAGGTATGGTCTGAGGCTCTGCACAAAGAGACATGCTTTAGTTTCCTTTCTAACATGGGCACCGGTTTCCTTTCTAGGTGGCTGCCTTGCTGTCCTTGGAATTGACCGAGTAGAATGCTCAAGGCAACAAGCAAATCACTCCAAGTCCTGTGCAGCCCAAATCAACACGAACTTTGCCTCTGTCACTGTCAATACACCTGAGACGACCCATGACCTTCAACAGCCCCCTTAGATCATTCTCTAAGCGGTGGAAACATCTGTTCTCTCAGTCAAGGAGCATAACCTGTGTTCTGAACGCCCCAGTGGTTTCCAGCCCTGGTTGATAATACATCAATTTGCTTCCCAGGACCAAAAGGGCTGTGGTGATAGCATCCAAACATTTTCATGTAAAACTTTATTTTGGTAATCAACTTTTTATGTTAAGGTTTTATTTATTTAGTTTTTGAAGCATTATTTAAGAAATGGTATTATTCAACCACAGAGCTATCTTAACAGAAAAGAACTTTTATTCCTTTACAGTCCTTCCTACCTTCATTTATTTGTATAAATAGCACTTACATAGTTGTAACCATATGTCTGGGCAGTTTCGTGTTCTAACTTTTAAATTAAATATTTCATGAACATTTCCTGAACTTCTACAGTCATTAAGTCCATCATTTTAGTGGCTATATAATATTTCATAGTATTAACATGCTATAATTCATTTACCAATTCCCTCCATATTATTTAGTTTAATTCATCTTAATTTTGTAAATAAGTACATAGCACAACAGCATTCTTAGGCAGGGGAGGAGATGAATGGAAACATTCTATGAACCAAACACAAAGGATGCCTCGTCTCACACACGATGAGTGATCACTGTCATATGTGGGTAGCCCTTTGCGCGTTCTATATTTCTTAATATAGATTCTGGTGATTTCTGAGTGTCAGCCCCTCTTACTTACAGACTAATCTTAAGTACACACGGTCAGGGCTAATATCCAAAATACTATCCATCACTTTGCCACAACGTCCACCACCACAGCAGACGCCAGCTAAGGCAGGCTCTGGGACGCCCCTCCCTGTGCCAGGAGCTAACCATGCAATGGCTGGATTGTAAGGAGCTGGAAGAGAATGGGCCCAGGCTGGTAGGTAGGACACTATTTTGATATTTTAAGAACTAGTATGACAGTAGGTGTCAATGACGATGCATAGGTGAGTACCAGCTCTGCACACAAAGACTTTTGGGGGAGTAGGTTCTGCTGTTGTCACTTGGTGATTGATTGAATCTGCAGCAGGTGACACAAAAGACACAGTGGGCTGTTTAAAATAAAAACTGTAGCAAGAATGGCAGTGGCAGCTGTGCCAAGGATGGCGCCCAGGGCCCAGTCCTCGCCAGGGGTGGCAACAGCAGTGACACCCTATCCAGACTATTCCAGAGCCCGATGTTGGCTCTCATTCCAGCCAACTCAGCCTCCTTGAATTCCTGCCCTGTTCTGAGTGCCATTCCCCAGTCTCCCATAAACTCAGAACTACTTGAGATCTTGCCAATAAATCCCTTTCCAGTGGGAGTTGACCAGAGGTGGTTTCTGGTCATTTGCAACCCAAAAACCTTGACCAAGAAAGATGAGGAGGAGGAAGGCATCCCTAAGGTTTCGCTGGGAGAGGAGAACCTTCATCCCTCTGCAGTAAGACCAGCCAGACCTGAATCCCACGTGGCTCAGCAAATGGTTTTGTCAGCGAAGATGCATCCGGAAGCTGCACAAATTGAGCCTGACCAGAAGAACGCCAAGAGCTTTTTGAAAGTCATAATCAAGTCCTGGCTGTTTATTTAGACACTAGAGGCTTGATGCACAAAATTCATGCAAGGGGCCCGGCCCTCGCAGCCCTGGCTTCGTCCGGAAGGACATCTGGTCTAGTTAGCATATTGTGCTTTTATTATTATAGATAGTACAGGCTATTACAATTATATGTAGAATGTGAGAGTTTATTTTACATAAAAACCCTGTGACATTTAATATTTGTTTTAAAACTAAGCTGTAGAGAGCTGATTTGGTTGTGAACATGATGGCACCTCTTTGGAATTTCTCCCATGTGTCCCCTCCAAGGGGTAAAAGCCAAAAAGATGACCAGTGCCAACTAGTGACAAAACCGGACAGCTATTCCCCCAATGGATTGCGGGAACCTACACAGTATCACAGCTTGAGTGGGCCAGTGAGGGTCCAGCCACCATTCCACTCCTTGGGCCATGGGACCTACCATACTTGGTCAAAGCATCGCAGCATCCACACAAGCATTCCACCAGAAGAACAAGATGTGAAGTAGCCAGACTTGTTAAGAATGCGTCTGGATAATTAACAGTTCTGTATGGTCCCTCCCTCACTCCACGACCCTATAATTCTGAGATGACACAGAGTGAATAATTACTGAAAAGCAAAAGTTACCATATACTCCTGCTTCCAGCTGAAATAGGATCCAATAACTAAATATGGGTTTTTGTTGGGGAAGGAAAGAAGGTCCTTATATGGGTGGTTCAGGGATATGTGACTAGGGAGGAACTGAGTTTGCTGTAAGAGTGAGTTCAAGGTCCAGCAAAAGTTTGTGGAAGACAATGAGCCTTTGGTTGACCTCTCCACACAGCATGCTCCAGCTTCTCCTATGTACTGCGGTATTTTGCCTCCACGAGCCCCCCCTCCCCCCCGCCCCCACATACACACACAAACACAGGACTGTAAGTTACAGGAATGGAGACCCGATGTCATCCTCAGGAGCAAGGATACAGTGGGTGCTCAATCATGAACTTTGCCCTTGTCTCTATTTAGCCTTCAGAACCTACTTTGGAGTCTTATCTTCAAGATAACCAGACCCTCCTTAACTCCACTGCAGCTGCTTAAAAGGAAGCTGGCTCCCTGACCGAACTCTGGTTAAACTCTAGCTTTGAAATATAATCTGGGACTTGATATATTTGTTGCTACTTCCAAAGGCTTGAAAAGCATAGGGACAGCTCACAGAGCCTTGCTGCTTTAAACTCTGCTGGTCCACCAGCAAAGCCACGCTTCTTCAGTTTTTCAATACCTCATCCTCTTCTCAATCTCTATTAATGTAATTTCTCTCCAAATGCACTCTCTACGTTATTGGAGAGGGTGCAGAGACTCCTCAGAAAGCCAGAAAGGATAAAACACTGTGTTATTAACACTTCTTTGCATGGAGAGGAAGTTAGGATAAACTCGACCCTGACATAAACTTCAGCCTGGAATCCCATAGCACAGTTGGGGGCTCAGAACACAACAAACACAATCTTTCTGTGAAAAGATCGATGCTTCTGGAGAGGGAGCAATAGGCAAACACACCAGAAAGGCCACCCCCCACGTCCTCCCATTTCCTCCTGGAGTCCCTCCAACACACTTTCCGTTCTAACCAATTATCTGAAATGGCCTTCAGAAAGGTTTCCAGTGCACACACGGCCAAGCCCAATGAATTCCGCACTGATCAGGGCCTCGCTGACCTTTCCACCGAACTGAGGACAGTTAACTCCTTCCTCCTCCCACACACGCTCTCTGGTCCTGATTTCTAAGTGTCACTGTGGACCGGTTTACCTTGGGCCATGAGTATCCTTCCTCTAGAAAGGGGCCTCTGTGGTTCTTCTAGCACAGTGGTTCTCAACCTTCCTAATGCCGCGACCCTTTAATACAGTTCCTCATGTTGTGGTGACCTCCAACCATAAAATTATTTTCGTTGCTACTTCATTAACTGTAATTTTGCTACTTTATGAATCGTAATGTAAA